TTCTATGATTCTATGAAAGCCACAGGCTTGGAGTGGCAAGGTATGTTCTACTTAGATGATTAGTAGCTTCTCCTTCACAGGTAAAGTTTGTGGAGGTGCACAGTAGATCAGTTTTGACCTTGGTCAGATCAAATCAAAGCTTGGAGCAGTTTCTCCTTGGTTTTACCTGAAGAATCCAGAGTACATTAAGGCCGTCTTTTCACCAACTGTTTCTTCACGAAGACAACCAGCAGGACTAATGGAGAAGACCACCTCTGGGCTAGCAAATGTTATCCTTGGAAATAACAGAGAGATTTCAAGCCTGTAGCCATCTACGACTCTATCTATCCCCTCACTTGAAAGCTAGAGGCTATTTTATTTTTTGGTTTTTCTTTAACATTGGGTGCCAAATTTCACTGGTTGTTTTTTTTTCTGCCATCTGTGGAGCCCCGTGACTGTGAATAACTCCTGCTGTGTATGGCAGATGTTCACAGGGAAGAAGTGTAATGACCAGAAAGCACTTGTTCCTGTTACTTGCCCAGAGATGCTTTGCTGTCCTCATTTCCCCATGACTTTAACGTATTAGTCTACTTCACCTGTTGAGGATGAGGTTCTGGCATGTACTATGTGCACTTGCAGTTAAGGACTGCCCAGTGTGAAGGAAAAGGAAGGCTGCGCAGCACTGCAGGATAGTCAGATTATCGTGTGCACTCGGTATTAAAGATTTAATGTTTGCTAGACTAGCTCCCTTAATCCTGGTCTAGTAACACGCAATTTAATCAGGGTAGTTGTTCTTCCAGAGATCGACAGTATCATTGTGTTGCTACACAGTGGGAGGCAGGCACAGCTTTCAGTGCTGGTGGCCACAAGTATGAACTTTGGCTTTAGAGTGTGGCTTTAGAGTTTGGCATTACCCAATTTCCTTTCTGAGTATTTTCATTTGCTGTAACTTCAGTTCCTTACTCTGCCCAAATGCATGTCCAAGTGAATGTGTGACACTGCTAATAGACGTTCATAGCTTCAACAGATGAATTTCGTGACTGATGACAGTTGATGAAATCTGATTTGGTTTTGATTTTTTTAATTTAGTTCAGTGATGCTAATTGGCTCATTTCTCAATAAATGGGAGTTTTTTAGTGAGTCAAATGTAAAGCAGATAAAAAAATAGTAGACTCCAACTCTAAGAAATGGAAGTCTCTTCCAGCCTTTTTTTTTTTTTTTCAGATTGGCAAAACTACTGTGTTTCACATCTCTGTTTCAAGCAGCAAAAAATCATAAAGAAGACGTGCTATTCATTCCTTGCAACTTACCCATCTCTCATAAAGAAATGGGGAGAACATGCTTAAAACTGTGCCTACAAAAGATTTTTTTAAAAGATGTACCTATTCAGTCAGGATCTAATAAACGTTTTACTGTTTGGGTTTTTATGTTTTAGCTCTGGGTTAACGCAGACTCTAGTACTCAAGTGTTTAAGAGCAAGTTGACATCCTGGGAGCAGTCAGCCACTGTAACCTAGTATGAGGAGAAGAGTGAATTAGCTCCTGACGAGTTGGGTGCTAGTTGGAATTGGATGTTAGGTCAGCTAGCAGTAGTTGTCAGCTCTGGTTTGCAGCTGTAGCAAGCAAGCTACCACAAGTAACATGAGTAATACAGGAGAACTCTTGGAGCTGGGCAGTTAGATAGGATCTCAGATATCTAAATTATCTAGACTCAGGTATGTTGGGTTCTGCTCAGCATTAATCAGTGTAGAAAGATAATGTTTGTCAGGAAGACCTTCCAATCATGCCCTGTTGTTAAGTGTCTGTCTTGTTATGGATAATCTTGTTTACATAGCAGATCAGAGTCAAAGACACTTTATATTCATGCTGCTTCCAGCATCGGTGTTTTCCTTGAAATTACACAGTTATGGCTGTGGTGGGCCTGGGACAGCAGCATTCGTTTACTAAATAACTGCCTTTTGATGCTGGCTCCCAGAATTTTGCTCCTGCAGAATCTCAGGTATCCAGAAGAACAAAGTAAGATGGGCCAGGGACATGTGCCACTGAGAGGCAAGAGAGACCATTCACTGGGCTGCTTCTGTTCATCAGTAAAAACAGGGGAGCACATTACTCATGCTCAGCAGCACTCAGAATCACACTGAACGCTGTGTCTTCCTGTCACCAGGTTGTGTCTTCCTCAGAAAGGTGACGTCTTCATGGTAGAGAACAATTTAATTAGTCTTTTGCTATTTACTCCTGTAGACTCTTTTTTCCAGTTTAGAGAATGAAATTAAGAATTTGCTGTGCTTGACTGCAGCAGATAGAAGGGTAAGGTGTTCTAGAGGAGAGAATGGTGGTTTGCAGGAATGTCCTTCTTGTGTAACTGTGTCCATTTTTAAACCAGTTCTGTTCATCTCTGTGGGAAATCCCGTTCCACATTAGTCCTTAAGTCTTCCTTATTGGAATTCATCCCTTTTCAGTCTTGAGAGAAAGCCTAAGCAAATCGAGGGTACATCTGTCCTTCATGATAACTCTTTCACATTTGGTCACCTTCACGTAAGCTTGACAGCAGGAGAGAGACATTTCTGCAGCGGGCTAGTTCACCAGGCAGCCCCTGAAACTGGGGGGTTCGGCCCCAGTGTGATTCCTGGCCAGCCACTTCCTCGCATCCATTGTATCCCACACCAGCAGCCATGTGGCACTTCCCTGTCCTAAGCAGGCAAGGCTGTGCTTCAGCTCTAGAGCGGAAGGAGGAGCGAGATGCTGTGTTGGGGCTCTGGGTGGTTGAGAGGCCGCAGCGGAATGCAGCTCCTGTCGCTGAGAAATCCTGTAGCGGAAGACAGACATGATGGAATGCCTTAAGGGTCGGCAGGGCGCACGCTTCGCTGAACACACAAAATCAACTGCCAGGCAAGGGTTTCTCTGCCGTGTAGATCTTTTTTTAGTGTTACATAAGGTGCACTGTACTGCGTCTTAATGCAAGACTGGCACCTGTGGGGGATTTTGTTTATTCCTTGAAATTAAAACAGTGAGAGTTATCTGCCCATATTATTTCCTTTAAGATTCTTCATTTTACTTTGATTTTGAAAAAATTATGTTTAGACTTCTACTTAGGAAGAATAGCATCTATTAAAGTATACTCTGTCTTTGCCTTAAAAAAATTACCAAAGTAAAATGTAACTTACAGTTCAGCTTCACTGAACATGACAGAAGTATGTTACACTTACAGTTCTGTTGGCTGTGTTAAGGGTCCTATTATGTTCACCAAATTAATCTTTCTGAAAGCCTGTAGTGATCAGCATATAGAATAGGCTGAACATAGTCACTTAGTTCATATTTCTTTCTTTTTAATGCAAGAAGGCTATTATCTAGTACTAATGCAAGGCATCGCGAGCTTCAGTTGTTTTTCTGATTGCTGCAGTCCTCCACAAACGGTGAGCTTCACAGCAGACAAGTTAATCCCCCATAATGAAATCACACCGTGAAACATTCATTCTGGCCAGGGTTTTTTTTCTTTTAAGCACATGACATGGTTGTAATCATTACTATTTCAGTTACAGATATTTTGGTAAAGAAAAATGAATTTTGTATCATGTGGGTTCACTAGCAAAAACCTAGGAAGTACAATTAACTTCAGTTCTTTTATAGAAAGATCTACACATGCTAATACCTTTGCCTGCTTGATGATAAAGTCGTGTAAATTCAGCCATTAGTACCGTATGCATAGTGGTACTGTGTGGGGTTTTGCAGGAGCTATTAAATGTGTACGTTATTTTCACAGATCCGACAGAGAAGGTGACTATTCAAGTGCTGTCACAAAGCAGTACCATTAAAGAAGGCGATAACGTCACGCTGAAGTGCTCAGGAAACGGCAACCCTCCTCCACAGGAGTTCCTGTTCTACATTCCAGTAAGTCCTGCCTCGCTGTCCCTGCGCAGTGAAGTATTCTGTATCGTACCTTCATGCAGACATTGCTACATGTCAGCGTGTGTGATTTTATAGCAAATGAAGGATGGAATTCGGTGCGACTAAGACTGAAGATGGGCATTGACCATTACATCAGACTCTGAGAATACCTCACCTGAGTTGGCCAAATATTTGGGGAAAAAACCCTCTCCTTCCCCCAACCCCACCTAAAGTGTTTTTGGGTTTGGACCTACTAGAGGTTTCTAGGCTTCATTTCCCATCATCAGATATTTTGATAAGAAGCAGTTTTGACTAAAGCGGTCTAGCATCTTGAATAAAACCATCTCATCTGTTGTCAAAACAGACAAAAATCCAGCAGTGAAAGTACAGGAAATTAATTCAGCTACGTTTTGGACGTTCACAGATGACTCCATTGTGCAATTGCTTTTTGTTAGTTAATTAATTCATTGTTGGGTGGCATAACAACACAAAAAAGAACAAATGTGACAGCACAGGAGAAAGTGTAGAACAAATCTGTCAAATGCATAAGATGCAGATTGAGAAAAATAAAGGCTTTGGTACCATTAATCTTCTTAGTATTGGTGAAATCCACAGACAGATGTGGCTTTATATTCTAAGATTCCTAGTCCTGCTTCTTTCCTATTTTATATCCCTTGTTTTGTTCCTACTGCAGTAGTGAGCAGAGATGATCTTGAGAGAGGCCAAAAGCAGTGGCATGTTTTCAGGTATTTCAAAAACTGCATGTCGCCCTTTGAATATAATCCTCATCTACTCTGGACTCTTGGCATGTTTGAATTGCTGAAGAGCAGCAAGGGAAGCTAGGAGCTGAAGTCCTCTTATCTCAGAACAGCCATTTAGATTCAGTGACTCATCCCAGGGACTCACTATATGCCAGGGGAAAAGTGTATGGTATCTCTCCTTGCTCCACTATCACGGCAAGTGAGCTAAACACCCAAGTTTGCCTTATCGTCAGTCTCCCTGCTACCTGATACTGGTGCTTTCAAGGAGAGCTGGAGATGGTCGTTTCTCTGCAAGACTTACGGGTGTTGTAAATCTCTGGATTCAGAGATGCGTATTAGGGTTTCATTCTGTGCTTGTCTCCAAGCTGATCAGTCAGTTGTAATCGGGGAGAAACCATGGAACTGGACAGCCAGAAGGCAACACTTGCTGGCTAATTCAAAACATCAGTTTCTGTAGAAAGCTGCTTATAATATAGTGCATACCCTAACAGGCCCCAAACCGTGATGGGGAATAGAGCAAGGTTTGCTTGTGCTGTTTAAATGTGTAACGTACTTCTCTTCATTCCATGATTTTTCCTAAACTGGTTATATCATTTCATTTAGGAACACAGTTGGGTTTGCTCTTGATTTCTACAACACTCTCTTCTTTGTAGACTGTTTCAGTCTTCTCGCCTTTTTCTTTCTGCTAAACTTCCAAATTTAGTATTTTAATGTCTCTTAAAATAAGTTAGTCATTCAAATAGAAGACTTAGGTCTTAATTGTAGGTGTTTTTTAAAACTATGGTGTCATGCAGGAAATAGACCTTAGTATTATTAATAGGTGATGCTGTGTCTGTATGTATTTTGGAGTATCTCACCATCGTTATAATAAAAAAAATAGTCAACACAAATTAATGCTTTTAACAGGCCCATATACAATAAATGTTTTGTTTTCTATCCACAGGGAGAAACAGAAGGTATAAGAAGCTCAGATACTTACATAATGACAGATGTGAAACGAAATGCAACAGGAGAATACAAGTGCTCTCTGACTGACAAAAGCATGATGGACTCGACCACCATCACTGTGCACTGTAAGTCATTGCGTTTTGTGCTCCTGGTTAGGACACAGACCCATCTTGGACCTTCTGGGAAGGTCGCTCTCTGCTTTACTTAGGTAGATGAGTCCAGCTAACTTACAGAACTGAATGATGTGGTTCGTTTGAAGTAGTGTAAGGTCACTTTTATTTTTTCTAGTGTGTCTCTGTTTGAAAACCTTAACATTTTCAATTTGTCAGCTTAGATACAGAGTCACTTTATGTAACCTTTGTGTAGTACCTGATGATACTGCACTGTCAAATACAGTGAAAGTCCTAGTATTTTATGTTTCACTCGTGAACGTATATATGGCAAAATTATTCTGCTCCTGCTGTGCTTTATAATGTGTTTGTGCCTCAAACACACAAGCTGGCCCACAGTGGTATCACTGAAGGTCATTCTTCTTAGTCAAACTGGCATTAGTCGAATATCCTTTCATCTTATCTCAAGGGGGTTAACGTGTAAGGAGTCTACGGAAGGGACTTAATTCATTATGTTCGCACAGGACAAGGTGCTTTTCTGACTTTTCCCAGAACCATCAGAGCCACAGAGCTCAGTAAAGTTTCTTTAGCTGGATACTGGAGCATTTACTCACACTTTATCAGCAACACTTTAAAAGCAGCCATTGAACTGGCTGAAGCAGTGGCTGCTTTTCAATGATTGCTTTTAATTTCTTTATGTGAGAAAACAAGAGCAGGAGCTCTCTCAAACTTTGTTATACTGTCACGGGCTGTGAAATCAGACTCAGGCCAGTGGTAGTATGTTTCCCCTAAAAAAAACCATCAGTGGTCTGTACTCTTCCCAGTAGCATAAATACCTTTAATAGTTTACAGGTTCAGAGGGACGTGACTGATGATGAAGTTTAAGGCTTCCACAGTCTTACATAAAAAAAAACCCTTCATGTTTGTATACTTGGTTTTGATTTTTTTGTTTCCTTGGAGGAGGTACAATGCCTGCAGCATGTATCTGTACATTTATAATTACACCATTCCATGAATATTTTGCATTTGATAAGGTTATCTGCTGTTTTCCTACCCGCCCCTTCTGAAGAGAGATCTGCACCACTGCTGCTAGCTGTCCGGTATCAAAGGTAGCTTGCTGGTAGTGTGCTGTAGTACAACTGACCCTTGTATTTTACTTCAAGTGGATTGCATGTCTACTTGTACTTCCGTAAATAGTTACTCTAAAGAATGGCTTCCTCAGCTCCAAGTTATTTATAACAAGCCAGTTTTCCTTTCTCTGCTATTTTGTCTGTGTGTCAGAAGAGCTTTACTACACGAGAGAAGCATGTATTTTCTTGACAGAAGTCTTTTCAGTGTTGGCAGCTAGTGCAGCTACTCAGAATTCATAGGTACAATCTAGTACGCTACTGCTTTGCTTCACTTCAGGTTCATTTTGTTTTGTTTTTCTCAAACACCTCAAGCAAAAGCTTTATTGCAGATAAAGTGAGGTGCAGAGGCCTGGAGTAGTTCTGTAATCCCTGAACGCCCAGACCATGCCCTGTCTTTAAGCTACTTTGGTGTCTTGGCTTCTGCTGGTCTGAAACATTTCTGCAGCATGCTGAACTCCTGAAAAACTCATAAAACTTATAGATGCTTTATAGTATCTTCCTTCATCTTTCAATTTCTTACTTTATATTAATTTTCCAGCATAACTCAGTAAATTTAGTGCTTTCTCCTTCTAATGTACTTATATCTGGGACAAAACCTGTTTACAACCACATGAACTGCTATAGAAGCACGCCCTGTCTGAGCCAAGGAAAGCAGCTAGCGGTAGGGGACTTCCCTCAGCTAGGAAGAAGCAGGTAACAGTCTCAACCCACAGTCCCTTTTCTTTCTCTCTTGGTGTAACTGTTTCTGCATGTAAAACCCAGTATGGAGTAGGGCTGTGGACCTTCCTCTTAGTGATACTTTCCTTTCTGCTAAAATGCGTATTCTAGGGAAATAGGCTTGCAAACCTTCCTGTAAATTAAAGGTTTTAGAAATCTAGCATTTGTGTTTCTCCATAGGTATTTTTCATAGTCGTCTTGTGCTACAGATTCATTGAAAATAGAGGGGAAATCACCTTTTGAATATTGGTATGGAAACAAATCTATTCTTGGTATACTAGGAAAGCATCTGATTGTCTGCTAGTGTGTTTGGGGGGTTCAGACTACAGGCAAGTGCATAGTCATATTCCATCGAAGGCCTCCTTTAAATGCTGGGAGCCTGTCCTATATTTGCAATAGAGTTACAAAACTGAAGTATCTGCTGCGGTCTTGCCCACATTAATTCCATACCTCTCACATGATGTGGTAATACATGCGGAACGCACTCTTGGTCTCTTCCCTGTGCTACTTGGTATGCAAAGACAGCACTGAAATCAATGCAAGACTTTAAGTGAGACCACATTAAGAGCTAGCATATATTGAAAATGGTGCCTGATGAGAAGTTTGTTTATGAAGAGCATTTCAAAACCAAATGGGAAACGTATGGAAAATTCTTGCAACCGAGTTTTTCTTTCAATGGCTAAGAAAACTAATTTTGACAGTCTTGCTGTATGCAAGAACTATTTTGTCCTTACACTTCTGTACCAAGAAGAGATTATTTACTAATGGAGCATATAAGTTGAGAGGTAAAAGTATCTACATCACATTCTTTCTGTGGACCCTACAGATAAACTGGCAGAATATTAATCCAAATCAAATTTCTCTATGTAGGGTTCCTGGAGGGGATCCTATGTTAAACAGTAGCTTAATTCTGTACTTGCCTCATAAATCACCTTACAAATACTGCTCTGAGCGATGCAGTTCATCTCACACACTGTAAATTCTCCTGAACTTCTATAGCAACCAAGACCACTGTGTGAGCGGGATTGTAGTCTCAGTTATACCACAGAAGGGGGGGCACAGGCGTGCTAACCTGGAAGGCTGGGCTGAAGGATTGCTCTGGGCTCGGTGTCAGTCTTGCCTGAGATGAAGGCCAAAAATGTAATTAGTTTCTGCTTCCTGTGGTGTATGTGAGAGGAATCCTTCCTGTATGGTGGTTGGTGACCTCTTGAGTTTGAGGTGCTGTCTTGCTTCAAAGAACAAAAGGTTTAAGTAGATGTTGACATAAGGTCACCTGGGCAGGGGGGAGCGAAGTGAATTTTATCATTTTCTTCAACCACCCCTCTGCTTTGGTTGTATGTGCTCAACAGTAACAGAGAAAGAAGGAGCACACCCCCTACAACATCTGAGTCAATATACAAATGCTCACTGGCTGAGCTTGACTTTTTTATTATTATTTATTCCTTTTCTTTTTCTCCTTGTGGAAGTAATGGTAAGATCTGGAGAATCCTGTTAGTTTGGTTGCATTTACGAGTTTGGAGAAGCAGGGGGAGAAATCCCCATAGGAATACAGAAACAAAATGCCCTTTTTCTCTTTGGTAAGATCTTTGCTTTACTCAGGCACAGTTCTTGTGACCTCTCAGACGAGGTGTTGGACTCATAACACAGATGATGATGCAGACTAAGAGTACAGGATGGGACCCGAGTTGTTCCCTGAAGTTCTGCCTTCGATTACAGTGGTGTTCCCAGGGCAACCACTGAATGAAGCCAGTAGCTAAGCTCACTGTTTTGTTAAGGAAAACTCACTGTTTTCCCTTTCCTCTACCAACTGTGATTTTGCTTCAAGCTTTTTTTTTTTTTTTTTACCCGGCTCTGCTTAAAAGCCCAAAGGGTGTTTTGTAGTCCTTTTCCAGCAAGTACTATATTCGTGATGAAATCCTGTGTGCTTGCCATTTGAGAGCGTGTGTGTGTGCTCACGCATCTGTGATAGTCATTCGACCAGGCAACTTGGCTTACAAGCAAGGCACTGTGAGAGGGGGAAGCAAAATAGAGGTTTAGCTTGGCAAACTCTGCTTTTCTTTCAGTGTAGGATTTTTTTGTTGTTGGGAAAAAGAAATCACTAGCCTGCCAAATCCATATACTAAGAAAAATCTAGAGCAGTGTTCCCTGATCTTTCTGTGACCGGCTCTCACCCTGCCTTGTGTCAAACACAGCTATCACTGACTGCAGTTTCCCTGGAGCCAAAACAGGTCAGGCAAAGCTGGGACTCTGAGTTACACAAAAATGGCTTTTTAAGTTACAAATGCAAACAAAAGTGCCTCGTGTGTGGCACCCCAGCCCTATAATGCAGACTCCCCACTTGGTATCATGTCTCGCTTACCCTGTATTGACCATCCTCGTTCTCCAGATGCTGAGGATAAAAATCAACTTGTTTTATCAGATTCAAGAATGTGCCCCCTTGTCCTCCTATCCTCTTCTCCACGTTTACTGTTTAGCCTAATCTGTCCCCACCTGCATGAGTCCTCCCCTGAAGATACATTTTTACCTGGTCCATAGCAAGCTGCAGTCTGTCCTTCCCCTTTCGAGATGCACGTGCTGCTATGTGAAGCACTACTTCTTGTACCTCCTCTGTCACTCCTTCAGCAGTACAAGGGGAAAAAAGTATCCATTTGTCTAGTGATTAGTGAGTTTTTGCTTTTCGTTTTATCCTATAATTACAGCAAAAATGTGAATGTTCTGCAATGCCAATTTTAGAATAATTCTCTCTTCTCCCTTACTTGTAAAATTGACTTAGATTTTATTGAAGAAATGAAATCTTGAATTTAATGAGTACAATTAGTCACATTTTCTTTCCTTGGTAAGCCTTGAAAGGGGCCAGTGCTTTCCAAGATTAACTTTTGACAAATGTTCCTTCTGTCCCAGATTTGGATTTGCAGCTTACTCCTAGTGGAGAAGTCACAAAACAGATTGGAGAGGCTCTGCCTGTGTCGTGCACGATTTCTTCTAGTAAAAATGCAACTGTGTTTTGGATAAAGGTCAGTAACTCCTCTACTTCACACTTCATCTGAGTGTTCACCTCTTCCTATTACTGCTGCTACTTCAGGGTTTTGGAAGGAAGCCTTTCATGGGGCTTTTTAAAGAATATTGTTAAAATGGTGACATATGGCTAAAATGAGAGCTGCTGACTCGAGTTGATGACTGAAAATCGGTTACTGCAATTACCAGCTCAGTTTTCAAATGGAGAGAAGTAATGCCTGCTGTAACACAAATACAACTTTTTTGAAATAGTCTATACAAGGCCCTTTGAGAATCAGGTCCCTCTAAGAAGGAAAGCCCATTTGGAGGAATTTGGATTCATTAATTGTTTTCTCAGAGGCAAGCCTTGTCTTGGTTCCAATAAATGTAATAAAAGGGCAAGGCAGGTTGAGATATCAGGTCTTAGCAACTGGTGTTCAGTGGTTAGTGAAAAAAGGTAGCTGTCATAGTTGGTGGGTTTAAACTAAACCTGTACTGCTGGAAATGAAAAATAATGATACCTGATGGATGTTTAGGAGCATATGATGATCTCATAAGCCTGGCTTAGAGGAGAATTCTCTGTCTCAGTTTGTATGACCAGTGATTTTGGCCAGCCTACTAGAAAAGCTCAGAACTAATAATTGATCCCATCTATGCCCTTGATTAGAAAGCAAAGTCGTTCAGGAAGGGAGGTGGCTTTCATAGGTCTACAGTAGTCTCCAAACTTTTCATGCTGTTATGTTGCTGTGGGTTATTCAAATGCAGTTATTAATGGGGGAACACTTTAAAAATAAGGCTCTAATCTACCAAAGCATGTGAAAAACTCTGTTGATAGTAGTCACATCTATAATTTAGAGGTTAAGGTGTTCTGAGTTAGAGTTACCAGAGATTAATTTCTTACTTTATCAGGACAATACCAGAATGCAAACAAGTCCATCATTTTCAAGTCTTCAGTATCAAGATGCTGGAAATTACATCTGCGAAACCACTCTACAGGAGGTTGAAGGGTTAAAGAAAAGCAAGACACTTAAACTTATTGTGGAAGGTAAGGGAGCAGCTAGCTATGATTATTAATTGCCCTTTTCAAATAAAATGGTTAACTGTAATATTTTCGTTGTAGGAAAACCTCAAATCAAAATGACAAAGAAAACCAACACAAATAAAATGTCAAAAACAATTGTCTGCCATGTGGAAGGGTTCCCCAAACCAGCAGTGCAATGGACAGTTACGGGTAGTGGAAGCATCATCAATAAAGCAAGTATCTTTATTATTACTTTATTCACCAAAGAAAGTGCGTAGGAGGTGCAATTTAAAATCAAGCAACGTTTTCCAGGTAGTGGGATTGAAGAAACTAAGTCTATTTCATTTATCTAAGAGAAGGTTAAGCGGTACCTGTAGCTACGTGGTACTTACATGGGTGATTTCTGATGATAAAGGTCTTTTGAATATGGCAGTTGAAGGCACAGAAGATCCAGTGGCTACAAGCCAGAGCTGGAAGGAAAAAGAAAAAGTTACGAATGAAATAGGCATTTTTAAGTGAAGGTACTGGGTCGTTTTATCTGGGTAATGTGGTGATTTTGCCATTGCATAGAGAATTTACAAGTAATGATGGAACTATAGAACTTATATTAGAAAGCAAAGAGATATTTGATGGAGACATTAACTGGGTGAAATGTAATTAAATGTGGCAAGTAGGATCCAGAAAATATAGCCAACAGAGTCGCTTATGGGCTTTGCAGGGCTTTTTTCCTAATTTTTATAGTTGTTTTTGTATGGCTATACCTGTTGTTTCTCACTGGAAAGAGAACAGAAAATGCAGTTATCCTGGGGGAGAAATAAGGACTACCCATATACAGCAGGAAAAATACCTGGCCGATAAGCAAACTGAAGTATTTTCAAATTGATTACCAAATCACATGCAAAGCATTGCCACATTTTGCCTTGGCAGGAAAGATAAATGACACATCTATACAAGCAGCCAGAGACTGGAAGTACAATGCACGTTGCTTCTGTAGATTCCATTACTCCATTAGGCTGTGCTTTAATCCTACAGAAATTATGTGTAGCTGTCAAAATTTGTCCATTTACTTGAAGCTGTAGGGCGGGAATTGTATGGAAGCTATATAAATGATTGAAAATTGTCTTAATCTAAGAATGATGTACAGCAAAATTAAGGAGCAACTTCACATCTATATTACAGTGCAGATATTGCAGGTACTACTAAATGCATGTAGCTGGGCAAAATAGTGCTTAGTGTGGAAGTAACTTGGAAAGCTAGGAAGTGGGAAAACTTTGTGATTATTTTCCTTATAAAGACATAAATGACAAACAGCAAGATGGAAAGAAATGAGACCTTAGGAACTTGGGTTTGGGTTTTCCTTTAAGAATTTTGTCACTTGGAATTTTTTTTTAATAGTCGAAAGAAACAGTATCAAACAGACAATGAGGTTAACTCTCTCAAAAATGCCTCTGTATCAGTGCACATCATCCAAAATGTAGCTATAACTGGTTATCTTGGCCAAAGTCTTTTCTTGCAAATATTGACAGTACAATTTAATAAAATAAGGCATTATTTCTATTGCTGCTGTTTGTAAAACTGAAATATTAGTTGAAACTTACTCCCCTCTGGCCATTTTCAGTGTGCAATGCAGGTATTGTTCTTTGTATTTTTCAAGGATACTAATCTTCCTTTTTTTTTTTTTTCCTACCATTTCAGACAGAGGAGACCAAATATGTTAATGGAAAATTTTCCAGTAAAATTGTAATTGCTCCTGAGGAAAATGTGACTTTAACTTGCATTGCAGAAAATCAACTAGAAAGAACTGTGACCTCCCTGAATGTCTCTGCTAGTGAGTGTCTTGCAAAGACCATTCCCTTAAAGTTACAGTTTCACATAAAGTACCCTCACTTCACACTCATATGAGGAGTAGGTGTGCATAGCAATGCTGATACTAAGATATTTAACCTTTTTGTCTTAAGCAATTGTAAATCCACTCTGGATCAGTAGAACATAAAATTTATTGATAGATTTCTGCATGAAGTCACTTAAGTCTTCAAGATTTTCTTGGCAGGCTATGTCATGTATGCAATATATGATTTACAACAGTAAATAATATTACAAAATAATATTACAAAATCATATTACAACAAAAGTATTGCAAAATTGCACATTATTGATGAGATAAAGTCTTTATTTATTACTAAATTAACATCATATTTTAGCTCAAAATTCCAGTTTATTAATACTGGTATGGCTTGAGTCAGAAATCAGTTATGCTGACCTTTAATCAAATGTCACTTTTTAGTGATGAAATGTAGTGAGAAGCTACAGTTTGTGGAAGGTAGCAAAGAAATACTCAGAAATATTTCTGGGGTTAGTATTACATGTTTTAAGTAAGATTCTTCAAAAATAGGCAATTAAAGGTGTGTTCAGATGTAATACATTTTGTCTTAAAATTAATTTTAACATTTTTCATTTCAGTAAGTATTCCAGAATACGATGAGCCAGAGGATAGAAATGGTATGTATGGTTTCCTATCTTTGTAACCCTTTTTGTTGTTTGTCTCAGTTCAAGGCCTATGTTGTGCCACTGAACAATCTCCACTTTCCCTCCAAGTTGGACTCAATTTGAAATAGCTGGTGCCACGATTGACTAAGAGTGTGACTTTGTCAAAGCTTTAAAGGTGGTTTTTATGAACAATGCCTACTTTTTTAAAAAAATTCTTTTTTAACTCCTTGTTTCTGATGGAAATTCGTTAGCCATGGTGTAATGCTTTACCTTGTCATAGGTCACCTCATTAACTTTTCTTCTTTGCTTCAGATGACAACAGTGAAAAGGTTAATGACCAGGCAAAGCTAATAGTGGGGATTGTAGTCGGTCTTCTGCTGGCTGCTCTGGTTGCAGGTGTTGTCTACTGGCTCTATGTGAAGAAATCAAAGTAAGTATTTATGGAAAACTTGATACTAAATTGAAAAAAATAATAATGATAAGCAGAAATGTATGTTTTTCTGTTTTCCTTCCAGGAGTCTGAGTGGGGAAAAGTTGTTAGAGTAGGTGCATTCAATAGAGAAAGGAAACTTGGTACCTCTGACTGGCATGTCTTAATCCTTAACAGGACTCATCTCCTGGAGGTGGAGTTCCAAGTTTTTTTGTAGATCATTACCTGTACAGACAGAGCTTCTCTTTCCTGACAGCCAAGTCTGTGCCGATTCTTGCATTTAAATATAGTACCTGCTATTTAGTTGTGGGATGTTACCTCTGTGTGGCTTTACTGGTACTAGAAACTGTCTTCACTTAGAAGTTGGGCAGCTTGTTTGCTTTAAAAATGGAATAAATTACAGAATTAATCTAAACCATCTCAGGGAGAAGAGAGATCCTTAATCCATTTATACTTTGAGATTTCTGAAGTCAAATAGGTAAAGATAGACCTTGTGTTGCCGAAAATCTAGCAGCTGTCACCCAAATCACTCTGTTTTAGCCATCCTAGGCATAGTACAGGATTGGCCAGTGAGGCCTGCTTGCTGTCAAGTTTCATTATTACCACACAGGCTTGCTTCAGAAAATAAACTTGATGATCCCAAAAAGTAACCATGTTTCTCCATCCTGTTAAAGATGGCCATGAGTGTATGTCATTTGGCCTCATCCCCGTAAGTTTGTCTCCAGGGAGAACTGAGGGCAGGCTTGCTCTCTGAAGGGTTCCTTACAGCTGCTTCTTAACAAGGAAGATTAAGGGAAGATTATGCTTAACATGCAGAAGTCAGTACAGGTATAGAAACAATTTTAAGGTTCTTTCTATGACCTTTCATTAAAATTAGATCAAATGAGATCTAAAATATACCAGTGGGATTTTATTGTGAACAAATGTGTTTTCATTGATGCGAAAGTACAACAAGGAATTCTCCATCTGCTTGAAAATACTCTTTTTTGGATAATACATAAGGATTTTACTCCAGCCATAACTGAGGAGGTTTTGGATGTTTTTCAAGTAAAGAATTGCTATAAATTACCCAAGCACAGAACTACAATCAGATATTATACAGGTAAAAAATACTTTTTGCAAAGCTTATGCTTCTTCTGGTAGAAATTAAAAAGTAATAATAATGTCGAACAACTCCCACACTTTGCTACTCATGTAATAATGCCTATTATTTTGTCTTTCCTTTTTGAATATGGAATCGGTTCACTAAGGGTGGGTTTTTTTCTTTTTTCTTTTTGAAGAGGTTGTTTGGGTATAAGGAGGGCAGAGAAGTTAAAGTATCTTTTCTTGTACCATTATGTAGTGTGGGGAGAGCTAATAAGAGTTGTAGAATATAGCATGTCCTTTGCTGAGTTTATGACTTAAGATGACTTTTTCAGTTTCAAAGATAGTATACAGGATATTCTAAACGGACAACACTTCTTTTCCTCATGCTCAACTTCTACAAGTTTAGAGTAAAAATGAGAGCTAGAATTGATTACACAGGTTCACTGGGAACAAAATAAAATCCCCTTTATAGGTAGATAATAGTCTCCATATGTGATACACGGTTGCTGGCCAAGAAACCCTTACCTGGACTTGTGCAAAGCATT